CAGAAGAATGATATAGGATAAAGGAGAGGGAAGAGGAAGTTCCTTTAAAAATTAGAGAGCTATTAATCTAATTCCCCATCCCCAAACACTGCAACAACATGTAATCCCCCACTATCAATCTCCCTCCTACTCTTTTCATAAGGTCTTAAATTTCAAGTCCACCTCCTTTCACTATACCAATGAGAAAACTGAGGCCCAGAGAAACTAAGCGACTTGTCCAAGATCCCACAGCAAATGAGTGTCTGAGGTATAATTCAAACCCAAATCTTCCTTACTGTAACTAAATTCTGTGTACAATCCACTAAATCATGCTGCTTCTAGCTCACTTAATGTAGATTCATGAGCCGTCAGAGTTACCCTAATATGTTTGCCAACATTTTTACCCTGAGTTGTCCACCTACTCACCAATCATCTCATCCCCACATACAAACTTCAAGACACGCTTTCATTTGCTACAATTCACATATCTGTAGCTACCACACAGTAAAACTCCATTCCCACAATCCTATCTTCCTAGCCTAATCTTGGATCATTCCTCTCTATGAACTGTATGATCCTGCAGAACTGGACTGGGCAATGCCTCTGAGACACACTGCACCTTCTCCATTCTTTGTGACTCTTCCTCTGTTGAAATCTTACCATTTTTTAAGACCCGGCTCCCGTATCACTTCCTTTCCCATATGGCCTTTCCCAGTCCAATGCCTCCCTTTGCCTCACTTCAGAAATTATCTTTCCCATCCTTTTGGCTTATGCCTCTTTTGCACAATTAAAACGTTCAACTTTATATCATTCGTGTCTATACTGTTATCTCCCTGCCCCTAACATACACACAGGCTCAGGACTCTGTTGTTATGCTGTAAGCCCATCAAGAGCCATATTACACATGTGTTACAGCCCAGAGATCAGCACAGAAGGAACCTCATAAATGATGTCTTCTCCAATCTAATCACCAATGCTCCATTCTTCCTCAAGTCATATACATAAGTGACACTAAATAGCAGCTAAACTGTCATTACCCTTGGAGTCTGGAAGACCCAGATTCAAATGCTGCTTCTCTTGCGCGATGTGGATTTATTTATTTACATGTTGTCTCCCTCACTTGAATGCCTTCCTCTCTTGCAGCAGGGGAAGTTTTATGCTCATCCTGGTATTCTCTGTGCTTGGTGCTGGGTCTTTCACACGGTAAGTGCTTAATACATGTTTGTTGACAGACTGTGTGACCCTGGGTCATTCTCTTGAACTCTCTCAGCTTTGGGTCCCTCATCCGTACAGAGGAGGATAATGAAAACCACAGTGCTTGTTATCACAGGGTCAGGTTATCAGTGGTGAGGATCGAATGAGAAGGGGTGTAAAGCACTTTATAAGCTTTAAAGTACTATGTATTTATGAACTATTATTATTACCATCAAGACCCAGGATCCTAGATTGAGAGGTGGAAGAGGCCTTAGCAGATATGAGTCCAATTGCTTCATTTTACAGATGAGGAAACTCAGGCCAGAGATACGGAGGCAACTGGGCCCTGGGTCACAGAGTTACTCAGTGTCCAAGGGCAGGATTTAGCTCCCTGGCCCTCTATCCACTACACCGAGCTGCAGTGTCCATCCTTCTTTATCCTATTCATAAAAACCATATTCTCTCAACTCTTACCCTTTGCTCTCCACAGAACTAAATCATCCCCTCTAGCAAATCTGGCTTGCTTACCCTATCCTGTCTCTCTTCCAGGATGCACATATCCATTTTTTCTGCTCTGCATCTCTGCTTTTTCCACCAAGACACACTCAGCCTGTCCACTTCCTCTACATGTTTTGAAGGAAAATGTATTGTAATTAAAAAACACACACACAACAGTGTAGAATAGTGGAAGGAATCTTACCCTCTCCTAGAGCAAACCAGAGGAAGAAATTATAACAGCAATCTGAACTGACTTTTGCAAAATCAAACAAGTTAGTTAAGGGAATAGTCAGAAAATCCATATTGCCTCCTCTACTGTTTCTCTAGCCGCAGAGTGGCTAAGGACTTAAATGTTTGTTAAAGTCTCTCAGATCTAACTTCTATGTCTCCCTATGTTACCAGCTACAATGTAGAAAAACTTCATGTGCCCTAACCCATTCCATCTAAAACACAACCTCAGCCCAGGACAACTCTCACCATCCCATCTGACTCTCCCATTCCAGTAGATGCACATCTTTTTGGTATGCCCCTCCTTGGCTCTACGGCTTCAGTTTCATCACAAGAACTCGGTCTTGACGATAACAGCTACCTTTACAATAACATTTACTCGGTAATTTAAGTTCAGCAATCAAGTACTATTATCTTTATTTTAGATAAGAAAACGGAAGCTCAGAGAGATTAACAACAGGTTCTAATTCCAGCCACTTACTGCCAGTGTGACCCTGGACAAGTTACTTAAAATTCTCTCGGACTTAGTTTCCTCGGTTACAGAAAGAAGGATTCCAAGAACAGCCCCTTCTAGATCTCTGATCTAGGACCTGCTTAACGTCTGAAAGCAAACAATCAACCAATAAGACCTTACTAAGCATCTTCTTATGCTAGAGGTGGGGAGATATTCAGACAAAAATGAAACAGTCCCTGCCTTCAATGACTTCACAATCTAACTAGGGAGTCAATCCATTCCTGGCTAACATCGATTCCCATTCAGTTGTCATTCCCACCCAGAGTTCCAGAAGCATTCTTTCCTCGGGATGCTATCATTCTTAACTGTAGGCAGCTAGGTGGCAGCCGTTGGGTAGGGTGTCTGTCTCCTGCCTCAGACACTACTTAGTGGCTGTGTGACCCTGGATACATCCCTTCACTTATCTCAGTCTCCATTCCCTCACCTGTAAAGTGGGTATAATAAGAACACCTCCCTCAACAGGGTGGTTTCGAGGACCAAATGCAAAGCGCTTTGCAAACCTTAATGCAGTAAACAATGCCAGTGCTATAATTATTGTGATTTAATATTATTATTGCCATCCTGCTCCCCACCAGAATCTTTAATGCATCCAGCTAACTCGCCTGCACCAGTCCCTCCCCATCCTTTGTCTTTAAATCTTTTCGAATATTTCCCCACACAGCCCTGGGGTAATCTGGCTAGAAACGACCTGGCAGAGTAATAAGCATCTCTCACATAACACCCCTACACACATACATTCCTAGCCCCCACTCCCAGCCTGTGTGGAGTGTCCCCCCCAAACACCCCATCACGCTCCTCTTCAAAAAACCCTCTCAAGACAGGAGCTCCAGATTCCCGGACTCCACAACCCCGCCCCCTTGCTCTCGCCCCGCCCTTCAGAGGGGCTCGCCCCGCCCCCCGAAGTTCACACCCCGCCCCTGAGGCTCGTGCAAGAGGGCGGGGCCTCTCCCGCCCGGTCCACCCGCCCCCTACCGTCACGCTCGGGGACAGCCTGACCTCAAGCGGCCCCGCGGTGACCCTCGCGCAGGGGCCTGTGGGAGGGGCATCGCGTGCCCTCTCCCTCCCCCCCAGTCTCCTCCCCCTGGGGGCGCGCTGGAGTGGGGGGCGGGCGACAGACCTGGCCGCCTGCTGGCGCCACCACCACCACGCCTGCCGGGGGCGCTGCCCCTGCCTGAGGAAGAAGCCGCGGCTGCTGCCTGAGGGAAGTGCCACTGCTGCCGCCACCGTAGCCGACGCCGCCAGGGGTAGGAGCTAAGCCGCCGCCATTTTGTGTCCCCCTGTTGTTGTCGTTGACATGAATCCGACATGACACTGATTACAGCCCAATGGAGTCTCATTAAACCCGCGCCACCGCCCCGCCCCGCTGCCGCTCCATTGGACAATACCATTGACTCCCGAGGCCACTCGTTGGCCTCTCTGGCTGTCCATCACCCGCCCACTAAACAACCTGCAGCCCATTGGGGCAGGCTCCTGCCGGTCATCTGTTCTCCGCATAGGCACGCCCTTCGACCCATCGTCTCCCCCCCTTGGGCACCGCCCCCAGGGAGGATCCGCTGCCACCACCAATCAGCAGCATGCTTGGGCCACTCTTGCCCGCACCTATTGGCCGAACCTCTCTTTTTTGCCCAGCCACTGCACTACCTCCGCCTCCATCTCCCCGCCCCCTCTAACGCTAGAAACAGATTAGGCCAGCTCTTAGGAGGAGTGCTTGACCTCATTGGCTGCTGGAAACGTCAATCACCATTACCTCCCCATTTCCCCCACACACACCCTACCCCCTCCAGCTCGCCTACAATCCCCCTAGCCCGCAGCTAAAGTTTGTGTGAGAGCTGATCGCTGGCGGCGGCCGCAGGATTTAGGGGTGGGTGCGGGCGGGCGCGCGCGCGCGGGCGGGGACGAGAAGTTAAAATTCGAGGTTCTCGGGCGCCAGCTTCTGCGGTGGAACGCGCGGACGGGCGTGCCTTCCGGAGCGCTCCAACCCGCCCCCTTCTACACTCGCCACCCCCCCCTTCAGTCCCCCCTCCGGTCCTGGGCGATCACTCGCCCGCCTATGGGCTCGCATCCTTCCCCCGACACACACACCCTCTCAGCTGCTATCCCCGGGCTGTGGCGGAGCGGTGTAACTACCCTCTCCACGTCCCCTCCCGAGGGGACGCGCCCCCCTACCCCTCCGGGCGTGCACCTCCAGCTCGGCGCTCGCCCGTGTCTGCAAGCACGTGCAATCGCCATCGCGGGCTCTGGCCACCCCAGCCCCCAGCTGACCTCGCCTCCGGCCCCGGCCAATCGCTCGCTGCCCTTTGTTGCTGTAGCCGGGGTCTCCCTGCTTCCTTCCTCAGCCTCCGCCTCGTCCTTTACCAGTCGCCCGGGTCCGCAGCGCTGCACTCCCCCCACCCGGGATCCGCCGCCGCCTCCTCCTCCTCCTCCTCCTTTTCCTCCTCCTCCTGCTCCTCCTGCTCCTCGGCTTCGGGCTGCAGCGCACAGAGCCCGAGGCAGCGCCGCCCAGCCCCGCTCCCCCCGCCCGGCTGGGCTGGGGGCGCAGCCCGGACCCCGCCCGCCCCGTTCCCCGTCCCCGCCCGCCCCGGGGTACCTGCGGCCGCTCCTCCCCGCCCTGGGGGCTCCGCTCACTCCTGTGCCTCGGGGAGCTGGGCCGGCCTGCGGGGGGAGGGGAAGGAGGGAGGGAAGGAGAGGGAGGGTGGCTGGTGCCAGCGGGAGGATGCGGACACCCGGAGCCACCGAGAGAGAGGTGAACGTGCTGATCGGCCGGGCCAGGGCTGTGACAGACGCCGTCCCCACCCACCCCCAGCGGCCCTCGCGCCCAAAACTTCGGAGGGGGGAGCTACGGGCATTTGGGGGCGCCGGGGGAGCTGGGGCGCCGGGTCTGCTTTGACAGGCGGGGGAGGGAGCAATGACATGTAGCAACTGCGGAAAGGGCGCCCCGGCGGCATCTCCTGCGGGGAAGGGGGGGCGGTGCAAATTAATGTGGGGCTGGAAGGAGACACCCCCCCCACCCAACACACACGCCCCCAACTCCAACCCAAGGACTCTGGCCCTGTTATTCTTGGGATTGTTAGAGGCTGGGGAGCCCTTCTCCCCTTCCCGCCCCACCTCCGCTCCAGATGCTCTCAGTTTGGAATGAGCTTTACCGAAGGGGCACCGTTGAGGGGGAAAGGCTGATCTGACTGGGCTTGGGGTGAACTGTGCAGCTGTAGGGCCCCTTTATGCCCTTAGTTTTCTGTCCAATCCGGGACCTGCAAGGAGGCCGGTTAAGAAGTCGAGGTTTGCTATGGTCTCCCTCACGTAAACTTGAAGCCTTGCACACAATGAAGGGAATAAGGTGCTCTGTGACAACTGGTAAAAGGTCATTCTCCACTGTGCCCACATTACTTCCCTCTTCTTCCTGGCCCGCCTTTACTATTTCGAGAATCTCACTCCGGCACTGATTTTTCCCAGGTGCTCTCAGGAATGGGACTGCCTCCTGGGAGGGGAAAACACGAAAATCAGAAAAGGTTTTCTCCCCCTCCCTCCCAAACTATGTCTTTTACAGAAGTTTGGTCAAGTCTTGAGTAAGCATCATCAGGATGGGGTTAATGAAAAGGGGAGTGGTGGGGGGAGTTAAGAAAGGTTGTGTAGATGAAATGCCACCTGTTGATTGAAGACCGAAGTTGAAGCTAGTATGTAACGGTGAATCTCTAGTCGGTGTGGTGGTCTAGATGTTGTGGACGAGATGGTGAGGAAAATGCATCAGATCTCTAGTTGGCCTTTGTTAGGTTTTCATGTTCTCAAAAAGATCACAAATTCTGGTATCGAAAAAACCTGATTGTTTTATCAGTTCGTGACTAAATTGTCTTTATTAAGTATCTGCAGTATTATTTGGCTTCATAGAATATAAGAAACTTAATCTTACCTCTCAAACCCTCAGGAGAGAGAAAAGCAAGGCACTATCAAAGGCAGAACACATACTACATACACTATTTACCTTTTAAAGAGTCTTATTTTTTACTTTTAAAATGTTATTTCTTCCATACTACCAAGCAAGATGAGAAAGGTGTTACAAAAGAGGGGGGGAAATCTTAAGAGTGAGAAGAGTGAGGGTGTGTAAGAAAGAGGGAGGAGGTGGTGTAAGAGCTGTAATACTATACTCAATGTTGTCACAATTTCCATTATAAACCTCCCCCCCTTCCCTTCATAGGCAGTTTATTACTTGGTTACTGGTTTAAAAAAAAAAACCTCTAGATTGAGACTTGGTATTCAAGAGCTGTCTGGAAAACAAAACATTGTGGAAAAGCTTAACAAGCTGCTTAACTACTTTTGAGTTACTGAAGTGATAAAAACAAATAGGTTTGATGCCCTCAGATATTTGCTCCCAACTCCTTTTATTTCATATCTCTAGTATTTTGCTTAAGGTGAAGTGTTACAAGCTATTAGTTCATAACTCCAGCTAGTTCATTTAGATATTTCAAAGACAAAGGTATTTACAAGGTTGTTGGGAGGTTTTTTTTTTTTCATAGTGCAGGTGCTGGAATGTTTAATACTACAAGAGGTCACCAAAGCAGCCTTAACATTGTATTTCCTTCCTCCTTCTCTTCCGGATTTCTTGGATACAGTTTACTTTGTGAATTATTTCCCCCTGCCCAGACTGAATTTTATTTGTCAATAAAAGTATCTTAATTAAAGACAAAATGATAAATCCTAACATCTGTAAATTTCAAGCTAAAGCATGTTAAAGAAGCAACCAAAAACAAAACAACCCCCCCCCCCCCCCCCCCCGCAAATCCAAGTTTAGGATGTTTTTGTCCATTGATTTGCAGGAACCTATGTGCATCTAACATTCATTATCACTAATGAGTTATCTGCATGGATAACTAGTGCATCAAGAGCAAATAGACACCTTAGAGAGAATGGACTGTATTAGCATAAATGTACCATTGCTCTTCATCTAGATATGAACATAGGATGATTCTTTTCACCTTTTCACCTTGTATTTCCTCTGTTTGTTACAATGTTCTTCCATCAGGGGTGTGGCAAGGAAAAAGAATGTTACTTTGTCCCAAACTCAGGGTTAGGTGCCCTTTAAAAATGTCTTCACTGGCTCAGCAGATAAGAAAACAATCTAAAAGACATGCCTGTGCTGGTACTTTATTTGTAGAGCCCCTTGCTTATCAGCTGTATCTCAGCTCTTTTGCTGAGCTGAACAACATAATTAGGAAGTTAGCATATGAAACCTCAAAATAGCATGTGTTCATTTGAATAAAAAACTAAAATATGGTTCAAGACCTATAAGTTATCTGAAGACCTCCCCTCACCCAAGATTGAGACCAGAAGCCCATTCTATTCTGAGTCTGCTCCCTTTGTATTCTTGATAGAAGGTCTGTAGCTTGGGTTACTCAACCCACTTAATGGAAAATTTCTTTTTCTACTCTGATACCTCACTCTGGCATAAAAATGACCACTAGGTTTTTAAAGGCCAATGTTGCGCAAGCTCTGGTATATCCTACCAACTTGAAAAGTCTTCTTTCTGGTTTTGCACTCAAGGATGATTCGTTATTCAAGGGACCGGCCCAGCTAAGTTCAAAGCCACTCATTAGCAGATTGGCGTCAGGATGATGACTTCTTTGGCCACAGTGACTCTCAAAGACCATTTTAATCACACTGGAGTTGCTGTCGGTGGAACAAGTACCCACACTACAAAATCAAGGGGCGCTGAAGTCAGTTCTCATCTGGCTGTAGGTGTTGTATTATAGTGGTAGTAAACAGAATGCATTGAAGAAAATGAAATAGTCGTCTGAGGAAATGGTGATGATTTGATCTTTTCTGTTTAGATTTATTTGCTTTGGGGTATGTTAGGCAAACAACTATCTGATAAATATTGCAGCATTAACAAATCCACAGTTTGCCATCTCCCTAAATAGAAAATCAGTCACTAGAGTGGCCAAATTGTTGTTTGCTCTTCGTTCTTGAAGAGGACCAAAATGACATCACAATGTCAGAGTCAGTGTACAATACGTTGGCTGTGGCTGATCATGCCAGTTCGAGCTCAGAAGGCTCTACCACAGGTTGGGCACAAATAGTCCATAAGATCCTTATAAGAAGCCAGGGGGCCTATCTTTAGATTGGTGTTTAACAGTGCTCAGCACGGTGGCCATGCTAGAGAACACAATCATCCTTGATTCAACTGGTTATTCAAAGGTATTTTGTCCAAAACTCTTGTCTAAGTTCCACGTTGAATTTAATCTCTTTAACCACAAGGCTATGTCTGTAACAAGTCAAAATGGTATGGTTACTTAATTCTGTCAGCTAGCAAAGTCACCAAAATGACTGGTCATTCCAGTTCTCAGGGAAAAGTCATTGAAGGCTGTTATTTTTTTTGAAATGACCAATCAATAATAATCATAATGGCATTTACATGTAGCACTTTCAGGTCTGCCAAGTCTTTTCTATATGCTATCTCATTTGATCTTTATGTCAGCCTTAGCAGATAAGTGCTATTACTATCTCCATTTTACAGATGAGGAAACTGAGAAAGGTTAAGTGACTTGCCCAGGGTCACACGGAAGTGTCTAAGATAATCTGAAGTCGGGTCTCTCTGACTTCAAGTCTAACACTCAATTTACTGTACCACATAGCTGCTTTATCATTCAATCAATATGATGAATTTGTAACTCTCTCTAGATAAAGGATGTATTAGATCCTCACCCTTTCCCCATATCTAAAGAAAAATTCATTGGCAGCAGGTGGGAGAAACTACTCATGTTTAACAGAAAGGGATGGGAAGATGACATGAGTCTGAAAACTAGTTAGGAATCATTATAGCTCTAGGAAAACTTTTTTTCTTTTCTTTTTCTTTCTTTCTTTTTTTTTTAGGATTGCAGAAGCCTGTTTGGCATAGGACAACTCAATCAAAAGAACCTATGGGCAACTAGTATTTGGTAACAAATTAAACTTGTCTCTGAGAAAACTTGAGCATCTATCTATTATATTGACAATTCACTCTTATCCCTTATCTCATCCCTTAGTAAGAAGGGGTAGGTTACCTACTTACCTTTACTTCATCACTATTAAACTGTCTTCGACAAAATCCACCCCCCCACACACACACTGCCCTGCTTTGAGAGGTGGGGGGTCCACAGATTCAGAACATTAGAGATGACATCAGAATTTGTTTTTGATGTGTTTGTTTTGGTAATTTTCTCTTTTAAAATAAACTTTGTTATAAGAGATAGCTCTTTCAGATGGAGTTGGGGAGGAAGAATACAAAGAAAAATCTAGGTGATGTTAAAAACAAAATAAATAAAAATCTATTTTTAAAATTGTTTTCATTATATCTAACCTGATTTCCTCTTGTTTGGTACTCAGTGGAAATAGAAATGTGTGTGTATACATGATTATACATACACAGTGTGTATATAAACACATAAAAACACTTCAAAGTTCTGTGAACTTATCAAAATTGATGCACTCTCTACCAGTGAATATTCCTGTCTCCCTCAATGTCTTAAACACTCTGAGTTAGTTACTGCAGTACTTCATTGGTTCTGTGATCTGATCCATGTGAATGCTTCTTCCACCATTGCATGTCCTTCTCATCTTCTTGTCCTTTTTTGTTCTCTTATATGTCCCCCAACAGTAGTTCTCATAGTGTGGTCCATAGACCCTTGCCCCCCTTCCCAAAACCCTTTCAGGAAGTCCGAAAGGTCAAAACAATTTTCATAATAATACCAAGATATTATTTGCCTATTTAAAACAGTCCTCCCTTTTCCAACTACATATTTGTGTGAGGCCAGATTTTCTTCATATACTTCAACCAAAACAACATATCACAACAGATTGAATGCAGAAGCA